GCAATTACTACTTTGCGAAAATCATAATTATATTCTTTCAAAATCTTTCAAAAAACGTCCTATTTCTATTATGTAGATTTAGGATTTATGTTATTCAGTAGAAAAACTTCCATCGTCGTTATTTATAAGTAAGATAAATGACACCAGTATTTCTTCCAGATTATTTCTCGGGGTGGGGGGGGGGGGGGTGGCGGGGGGCACTTGAAATTTTTTGGGGGGGGGGGGGGGGGGGAGGGCGGACTAAAATTTCCAGGGAGTCGGGAGGACACTGTATCTATTTCGGTGGGGGGGGGGGGGGGGGAGGACGGTGTATAGATGCATGGAAGAAACACGTTTAATTTGAAACTAATTTTTCAAAACAACAATTGGAGTAGTACATGCCATTAAGGTGCTGGTAAAGACTTAACGACACATTCTTCCACAGGGGAGATAGTTTGTTCGCATCAGCAAGGACAAGAAATTTTCTTTTCGATATTTTCCAAACTGACCCTCGGTTGGCTCCTGGTTTCCCCATGGTCTCTGGTCAAGTCTGCTACTCGAGGGTCACGCCTCTGGGACAGGGGGAGACGTTCATAGAGAATTGTAGTACACCCATTGTGGGACGATTCGTCAGACTTATCAGGTATTTTAAATGTAACACAATTTTATCAATGTTTAGATCTATATTGAATGTTTGAAACATGCAAATATACATGCGGAGCTGAGTTTCTCTATGTACGAGTATATATATATATATATATATATATATATATATATATATATATATATATATATATATATATATATATATAAATATGTGTGTGTGTGTGTGTGTATATATATATGTATATATATATATATATATATATATATATATATATTGTGACCTACTTAGGTCTTGTATTTTTTTGTTTGACTTTTATTACTCAACCATGAGTGACATGTGGTGCAACCACCGGTATTTTTCCATAGTTTCAAGAAAGACATATACCCAGTACTTTTCCATCACGAGAGGTGGTGCAATACTTTTATAATTTCGATTGGTTGATTCGGACATCGGAGGTGTCCCAACCAATAGTCTCATGTTTTGAAGGTGACCTCCCATGTTGCCTCAGGTGTCAAAAGGTCTGCGCACACGTTTCTGCAGGCAGCCGACCGCAGCAGTTCATAGCAGCTGTCAGACCAGACATCTTTGAGAGAGAAAGCCTTGAGTGTCGCCATTTTGTAGTCTATAGTTTTTAAGCAGCTTTTTCCCTAATTACTTGTGGTTTTAAGTAATATTTTGTGATTTAAGTAGTGTCGTATAAGATGTGGTGCTTTTCCTGAGTGCCATATCCTGTGATAGTGTAACATAGTGTTTTTTCTTCAACTTGTAAGTTGGGTTTTTGTTATTTTACTCATTCATTTTATTCTGTATAATGCTAGAGTCTTATCTTGAATTTGTACACTTATTAAAGGTTATATATGGATTAAATGTGTTGTTGGTATCAGGAGTTCCTTGAGTGTATCCCCTAGACGTTAAGTACGAGTCCTCGTGAACTGTTGAGCCAGCTACCTTTTATAGGGCCTTAAGCCATCTGTGTATAACAATCTAAACGAACCCGGGTACGTTCGCCAGCTCTGATAGAGTGGTGTTTCGTAACAATATATATATATATATATATATATATATGCTCTTTTGCAGATATACGCTGGATTTTTTAAACTTTTGTGAGGCAAAAGTCATGGCCAGTGATACAATGTATAGAGATGTGAACTTTAAACTTGTACCAAACTATTTTCTGCAAGTCGTGCCTATTGTAACGACCACCACGACCAGCGCCTTGGACTGTACCTTAATATGTCTACAGCGTCGTGACAGCGATACGTGCACCGCCGTCAACTGGGTTCGAACCACGACAGAGTGCCAGTTGCTGAAGGTCGACCCGCGAAACGTTACTTCATATACACCTGATTCAATATCTGATGTTTATATCGAGACTTAGCTTGTTTACACTAACTGTTTTTTCTACCTGCGTCAGAGATGCATTGAACTTGTTTTTGTTTTCTTAGTAGAACATACATACTTTGTTTTTAAAATCAATACTTTTACCATAAAAAAAGTTATTTTCTCTACATTATTGTAATGTTGGAAGTGATTTCTTTAAACACAATTAAAAATTACGTGGCAACATATTATTCACCATATAAGCCGCTGATTGCCATAGCCTTCAACAAGCCAAGAGTCTCTTCTTCCCGGAGATTCGAACACGGGAACTTTCTGTTTGAAAGTACCACCCGACCAAGCTGGCCTTCAGAAAGCTGCTTGTTATCATGGTTTTCTATTCTTGCTTTTTTTATACTTAATACAAACTGAGACATTCTACTGTCTGAGCACACACTTGCTACGTCAGTATCAAATGTGCAAAGTAAGTTAACACGAAAGCGGGTACAAATTTACCAGTCTATACATGATCTACATGCAAATAGTAGGCCTACTTGTGACAAGTCATTTCATTCGGCCTGGTATATTTAAAGTCTAGGTAAAAAGCGGAGTCAACAGTAGAATGATAATTCTGTATTGTAATATTAAAACAGTTAATAAAATCATGCAATTCCACATGTAGAGAGTCAAAGCCAGTGCTCTACCGGGAATAGATTTTAAACCAACAGATAATCAATTGTGACGTTATACAAGAGTCGGGTGCTAGACAAAGTGTTAGATTACAGGGGTCTCCAAACTTTTCAGTCCGAGGGCCGCATTAACTATCAAATTTCAGTTCGGGGGCCAGTTTGTTCCAGGCATGTCTTTGATTATCTGAGCAAAGTTCCTCAGCCATCACCAACAAACGTTTTTTCCGTGGACAAAAAGATCTCCGCGGGCCGGACGCGAGGACCTCGCGGGCTGCATCCGGCCCGCGGGCCGTAGTTTGGAGACCCCTGTGTTAGAAGATAGTAAAATAAGTGACACTACAACACGGACAGGACAAAATGTTATGGGCGGGTAAGATAAAATGTATACCAACTGCTACGTGAAACTGTTGTCACGGGCAGGGCACATTTGCAGTAGTGTGAGTATGGTCATGAGAACGAATTTACCGACAGAGTGAACCCCAAAACTAACGATAACGTAGCGGCAAGCACTACGTTGTGATTACAGTAGCAAGATGTTCGTATACTTTGCAATAGCACGAAGATTCGTTGACTAAGTGACAACCCCATTCACCAGTTTACATCCCTTAAAATTTAAAAAAATATTAAAATAACCATGTCCGATGTCCACTTTAATTTGGTAATGGTTAGCGCCGACAAAACTATCTCTGATGGCTTGATGACAACACAAGGTACTCTGATAAGGCCTGATGTAAAATTATTTAAGAAAGTTCGCTTCACGAGTAGGTAGGCCTACACAGTTTGAAGTGTATTGTACTGAAAACATGCCTAATAATATTGATCATAAATATAGTTACAGGATAGTATAGAAACATGTAAAAATAAATAAAACCAAACCAACCCTAACTGCATAACAATCGGAAAACCGATGGGGTCTGTTTGAGAAAGTGAAGCAAGCACACAAGGGGCGCAACCCTACCAGAAGAAAATAGAAATAAGGGGCAAATCATCCCGTCCAGGCCCTATTTTAGTTTCCCCCATGGGCTTGTCACAAGCAACTTTACTTTTACACCTCAGGGATTGGTCACAAAAAACGTAGATCTAACCTGACTGGTCAGAATATAGGTGAGGTCAGTGCTAGCTGTAATAAAAGCTTTTGTCACGAAAATATGTAAAAAATCTCATTAGCGACCAAAGCTTTTGTTAGGCTAAAGAGAGTGAATTTTTAAAATTTTCTTACTTTCGGTGCATTTAAAAGCTTGTTAGTGTAAAATATTTTTTATAATTGTTTTATTTTCTACTTTTTAAATATGTTCGACTTTGATGTCGTTGTTTTTCCTTTTTTTTTTGTATAGCCAGTGGCAAACAAATGTTGACAAAGCACAAATTCGTTTGTGTTATTGTGTCTTCCTAGCAGGTTTCAACAAACAAGACAGGCTTAACTTGTTTTTTTTTTCATCTCTGTGTTGTTGATGTCTACCTTTATGCAATTCGTGTAACACGGTTTTCTTTGTTTTAAAATCTCAAGAGGATAGACTGTTTGTGCGTAAATGAAACAAACGTTTTAATAATTAAAGATCGCGGAATCGACGTTTTACCTCGCTTGGATACGAAATGATCAATAGAATGGATTTATTTGATAAATTTTAAATAAAAATTCACTTCTAGCCAGATTTAATAATTCAAACTATTCGTTATTTTTTACTTGCTTTATTGACAGTTACTGTGTTGTAACAGTATATAGGGTTGATGTGGGGATTGCACATCAGATGGGATGGTCTAGGATTGGCAGGAGAGAAAGACAAACGTCGTCTGCTTAGATTATCTGACAATCAGGTCTTTAATATACAGCTTCGACAAAATGGCATTGATAAATGGCCCATAACAAAATGGAAACCGAGAAGATTAATAACAGTGAGACCTCAGATAATCTGGAACCCAGACGCCGACGATATATTCTGTAAACAAGTGGCATGAGGCTGAAATATTCTTCACTAAAAGTTTCTACAACGGTTTAGTTTTGACCGGAAATAAGATCAGTTTTAAGACTGTCACCTGTGCACACAAGCAAGATTACGTGAACGGCTGGAGCTTAATGTACAGTCTGAGCTCAATACAGGGACGGAGCTTAATGTAATATATAATCTCACACTGTAATGAGAGCGGGTTTGAAGTTTTAGCGGCACTCTTAAGAAAAAATTAATTTCTGTCTGGAGATTTAGGTCAGACATACATGCTTGGTAGAGTTTAGGGCATAACATTAGCATACGTCAACACTAAAATATACGTTTTCGTAAACAAAGTTCATTTCATTTTTGTTAAAGCAAATAAACGAAATCATCATTGCATGGGGCTGTAAAAAACATTTTTTCTGTGATCACCCTTGATCGTTTGAAGTTTCAATAACAGTTCGAGTACATTTGAATAAAATGGCGTCCATGTTCTCAATATTTCTTGTTTCCATCACAAACATGTGTTTGGTGTCCGGGGTTCTCTTTAACGCAGCGCTTTACAAACCAGCTTTTATGAGCTCTGTAAATCGTGACTGGAATGCTGAGTGCGCAAATGATGGGAACGCTAATGTCTATGTATACAGTGGATCATGTGCGCATTCAATTCTTGACAACCCTGGATGGTGGATGGTGGATCTGAGGGGCCAGTACAAGATAGAGCAGATTGTACTAGTAAACAGGTAAGTTTTGTTGGATGTTAAGTGTAGTTAAAGTAAAAATCAACAGTTGAAATTATTTTACGAGAGCTTAAAGATTTGGCAAAATATATTTTTTAAATTTTATTAAAAAACTTTAAACAGAAAAAGAAATAGTTTAAATATGGGTCGTCGTGGTCCAGTCGGTAAAGCTCATGGTTGCTAAACCGAAAAGTCACGAGTTTGTACCCCCGGTTAGATGAGAGACAAATCCAAAATCAAGCAACTTCTGTATTGCAGCTTATTCTTTGTTGGATAAAAGATATGAAAGCAAATCCAAAAAGAAAAGCAGGCTGAAATCGGAGTCAGCGGCCTCAACGGCACATAGCCAGTTGACACGTATACTCAATTGTGTTGGAGGTGTGGTCGAGTCGTCAAAGCTAAAGGTTGTTAAAATTCGAAAAAAAAAAGTTTCGAGCTCGAACTCTCTTGCAGATAAGGGTCAAATCCTGCCAACACTAAAAAAATCAGAACGAAGAAGAAGACATGCTCGTCAGTCTAAATTTAAACTGAACGACAATAGTTGACGAGGCTTTTTTGCGTGCTTCGAATTCGGACCGAGCAAGTGACTGAAATAAGAGACTGTAGCGCAAGTAAAAAATATTTTTTTTAAGACTTCAGTACTTTTAAAAAAAATAGCAGTGAGTGGTCTGATTATAGAGCACACGACCTATAAAGTTTAGGAAAGGAAATACGTTTGGGTTGTTGTGCATGCATTTTTATCCCTTCATATATTGGCCTCACACAAATGTATACTCTACTTCCTCTGCTCTATTAATCGCCGATTTGTAAAGATTTTTTAAAATGCTATTAACGTGTAAGACAACTTTTTCAAAACAGAAAATCGGCCTGGTGTCATGCGAATATATCCTAAACAACATTCAAACAATTAAAATTGGGAGTGGAGGTTATTTTATTCAACCAGCTGTTTTTGTATATAGAAAAAAGTACGTTAGCCTTGAATCTGTTTGTAGACTAAAGAAACATTTGCGTGGCTTGTGGAAATTTTTTAGATGAGTATTGAATTTTTTTCTTCTTTACTTACAACTGTAGAAGGAATGTTTGAAACTAACGATGTTGTAATTAATTCTCTCAGAGGCGATGATCCCGCTGGAGCTAATAGAACAAAAAACTTTACCTTCGATGTGTTTAAAGATGACCCACGATTATCAGGTGACTTTCCAATGAAGCTTGGCCAAGTGTGTTACACGAGAATTGAGCCAGTTGGTCGGGCAGAGACATTCACACAGAGCTGCACAGCACCAATAGTTGGAAGATTTGTCAGATTTGTCAGGTATCAGATTTTTATAATAATTATACACACACACACACACACACACACACACACACATATATATATATATATATATATATATATATATATATATATATATTTATATATATATATATATATTTGTATATATATATATATTTGTTTATATATATATATATATATATATATATATATATATATATATATATATATATATATATATATATATATATATATATATCGTGTTTTTATGGATGTTACAGGTACTCCCTCGATATGTTGAATTTCTGTGAGATAAAAGTCATGACCAGTACAGTGTTGTTTCTGGAGAATAACTTTAGTGTGAAGAGTAATTTTCGTCTGCAAATTACCCCTCTATCAACCACCTACACAGGGGACCCTTCGCTCTGCATATTGCTGTGTCTACAGCGTCGTGACAGCGATACGTGCACCGCCGTCAACTGGATTCGAACCACGAAACAGTGTCAGATGTTGAAAGTCAACCCACGGAACGTTACTTCCTATGTAGATGACCCTAACAGTGACGTTTACGTAGAGATGTAGAAGATAAATTAAAGTTTTTTTTTTCACACACGTCAAAGTGACTCTACTAAAAAATTGTCTGACAAAATTAGTACATCTATATTAATACAAAATAAATAAATACTGTACAAACCAACCTTTCTATAACACTACCAATGTTTGTAGACAACCCTGCTTTACCGCCTCCCTCTTGTCTATAGTTTTTTCTTTCTCTCTATATATCCCTCTCTGCCTCTCTATGTTTGTAGCATTTTGTCCGAGGCTATGAGATAAAGTGCATAAAGTAAAGCAAAGTTATTATGTTGAATACAATAGGCTAATTATTATTAATGTATGCAGTAATTCTTTTTCCAAAAATCCCTAAAACATACAAGATTTAAATGAAAGTAAAAACAAAACACACGATAGTTTATTGTTTTTCAAACACTACGTCTTAAAAATAATTCCAATTTCAAAATTTAGATGTCTTTTAATTTATATTGCTTTACCTCCTTTCATTTATAACTCTAGTGGAAAAGTAAGTTGTTATTTTTATACAGTTTCAACAATAATATTATTTTAAAAAATTTAAGAAAAAAAATATTTTGAAAAAACAATAAAATCAATTTGACCAGTATTATTACTGTATTAAACTGTTTTATTAAATATAATTTATTATGTAGGCCTATCTAAATTCCTTCTTTTGAAAAGATGTCTAACAAAATATAATAAATTCGGTAAGATGATTAATTTATATTAATTATGTTATATGCACATTTAGTTATAGCTCTATTGTTAAACCAGATTTCTCAAAATATTTCAGTACAGTACAGAATCAGTTAGCGGTGGGTTTTTTTTTTTTTGTAGTTGATTATTTTCGTTTAAAAAAAAGTTCTTAACTTTTTTATATGATTCTAAATAAAAGCTTTAAAACTTTCAGCTTTTCTTTATTTGATAATATTTTTAAAAGTTGTTTTACGTTGTTGTTTTAAAATTAAAAAAAATAAAAGCTTTACAAACCGAAGCTTATTTGTGTGGCGTTTCCGTCAGTTGGAGATTTGTTTGTTGTCTGTTCAGTTATTACATTTTTTTCGAGAAAACGGAGAAAAAGAATATATATTTGTTTAAAACATCATTTTTTTCCCCAAAAACATTCGAATAAATATATTTATATATTTTCTTATCGTATTCGTCTGTATAATCGATAAAGAATAATAACATAACTGAGCCGAGGTCCAACATCAAGTGTACAGAACAAATGCAAATAATAAATTAGCCAATGATAATGTAGGTCTAGCCGGTGCAGCTTAATGTCATGGCAACATAGTAGCTGAGGTTATCTCATCAACTGTTACACTGTTTTCAAGGCCACAGAAAATTATCACAGAAAATTTGATGATTTAATTAAACAAAAAGCATTAAGCGGCAAAAAAACCTGATGATTTTGAAAGCAACTCACACACTTAATCAATTTAATTAGACGATATCGAATACTTGAAAATAAATATCTGATATTCTTAATCCTCTTCACTCCCTGTGGAGTATACGGCAGCAACAAATCTCCACCATTCCACCCTGTCTTGGGCGAGCCACTTTAGTTCATGCCAGGTCTTGCCAGTAGCCTGCACTTCTTCTTCCATCTCTCTCCTCCATGTTCCCAGTGGTCTTCCTCTCTTTTGCTTTCCAGGCAAAAAAAAAATATCTGATATATCTTATTCCCAATTTATAAACAATATATAGAATATTCGAAAAATAAGTATCATTCTTTTGGTATTTCAATCTATTGAATCTATCTAGTTTATGTTATTGAAATAAAAATAATAAGGACCTTTTCAAAAGTGCACGTCGATTGCAATTTTCATACGTGATGTTATGACAAATTAGATTGGTCAGCACAATGCTCATACATCAGAACTTGGCCCGACTACACATCACTGGATTAACATTATTAATTGATTAATAGTCTGGTATGCGAGCTGAATTAGCGTTTAGGGTGCGTACAAATAAACGTTTCTAGACTATATCGTGGTAGGACGGTAGAGCTCACGATTGTAAATCCGAATATCAGAAATTTTCCGGGCTCGATTGGATGACGACGTACTCTGATTGTTACTTTTGTCGGTCTCCGGTAATTTTCCATGTTGTTCCCATGACAGTCCTGCCTCTACCGTCTGTTTCACCGTCGTGCGCCTCCACGTCTCCCTGCTTTATTCTTCACTGAGCACCAGTCAGTAGTGTGCTTGTACTGTAGACATAGTTTAATTGAACAGTTCAAGTCAGCTGTAAACACGTCTCGTTTGTCCAAGTATATTTTTGTCAAGATGCACAACTAACGCAAGCAAGAAACAACGTTAACTATTGCGTTTTTTTCTTATGGTTAGAAAATATATATGTAAAACTGTGTAACACACTAAAACTCAGAACAAAAAAGTGCACTTAATTTTTTTTAAATATATGATGCACAGATTATATGGTGACTAGAATAAAACCGATTAATATTGTTCTTAAAAAACCAGTGTTATCATTTTACATTGTGTTTTCTATCCAGCATTACATTTTTTGGCTTTCGTGTGGTATAGCCACTGGATTATATTGAACTGTTAAGGGAAACAAACAACTATTTTTAACAGCTTTGTCTGTGTAACAGATTATCTTCTCATGTACGGTAATACATGCAGGCCTACTGTTTTGTACTGATCACCGGGGTATGACCTGTTTGTAATTTGGGCGGCAGGGAGATATAATTTAACGGAAAATTACAGGGTGGTTTTGTACCTGCTTTCTCCCCACTAATCCCCACTCTCTGAACGTATCAGGTTTATATGTGAAGAGTTGACGGACAGAGTTTAGGGTTTCCAGTGAGCAAGTGTCGCTTAATGAGACCTTTAGTGATAAAATTAGTGAATAAGTAATAGACATAGATTTACAGAGCGAATAGGGTAATTTTGAGAGTTTTCACGAGTCTTACATGTGGATAATTTGGTGCCGACATACAATAGATGTTGCAATATTTATTTTAGAAATAGTTGAAAAACGTGTGAAATTATTCTTCTGGAATATTTCCTTGTCTAACCTATTTAAGATTATTTGGCATTAAGTAGGCAATTCACTATATATATATATATATATATATATATATATATATATATATATATATATATATATATATATATATATATATATAAATATATATATATAATATATATATATATATATATATATATATATATATATATATATATATATATATATATAATGTACATCGATTCGCGAGACAATTATTTTTAGGGTCGTTCTGAGGGTATCTTTGTGAGAATCGTACTGAGGATCAATTGCTGGGTAGAGACTTCATATTTTACATCGAGTACCATCACAACTAAGGTAGAAGGGAAAATAAGTTTTCCCTCAGCCTACGTCAGTTTAGTTTTGGATATTTAAAATATTCATAGTATCAAAGGGAATCTTACATTTATTAGGAAATACTCACATTGTTTGATAGTTGACGTCCATCTGCGAAGTGGCACTGCTGATTGCGGTTCAGGTAACTTGTGTGAGAAATCAAATTGTTTTTTACTTTCTCGTATAGAGGAAGTATTGTAATCGTGCAAAAAAAAAAACAAAGTCGAAAAAACATAGTTTTGCAATTTCGTCCACATGTCTGTGTGTGTGTTTATCTGTGTATGTGTGTCTTTAAACACGATAACTTGATAGGTTGATGAAATTTCATACATAAGTTCTCTATCTCGTTTATTGATGTTTTTAGGCCACTATAAATTCCAAACCAAAAGTTGATATATAGGGGAATGAATGAGAAAACAATTATTAAAAGTAACCTAAGTGAAAGTTTATAGTCAGCAAAAGTAAAAAGATGATAACATTATAACACGTAAAGAAGTTGATGATTTATGATCCCGAATAAACACAATTTAAATTGTATGTTGAACTTTTTAAAGTTCTATATTAAATTCAATCATTCAAGCTATCAGAGTTTCTTCCAGGCATCTCTTCGGGGGGGGGGGGGGGGGGGGGGCAAAGCCCCCCCGAAAAAATTTTACCGCCCCCCCCCCCCCGAACAAAATGAAATTTATATAATTTATATAGAAAATATATACTTTTAACAGTGTCTGCCCCCCCCCCCCCCCGAAGAAAGTTTACCGCCCCCCCCCCCCCGAAGATTTCAAGTGCCCCCCCCCCGGAGAAAAAAGTCTGGAAGAAACACTGCAAGCTATAGATCTGCCTATACCAAATCAGATTTTCATAGACAACTATTAAAACAAATCAAAAGAAAACTTCATACCGTAATATTAGCGGCTAAAACAACTACCCAAGCGTTAAAATAAATTCCTTCCTGAATGAATATTGATTATTTTTGACCTGGAACTATTTAATAGATTCTTCCTTGTGCGACACCGTGGAATTACGAACGTACTTTTGGTTTTTATGTAATAAATCGATTCCATTTCTAAGCTTTGAGAGGCGTGTTGTAATTTTTCGTTCATGCCTGAATGAATGCGTTCGAAACACGTCACTGGACTTGTCCATAATTAGTGTCATTTATGTAGGCCTATGCAGGGGATTCCGTATATTTGTAACGTTGTGTGTCGATGATAAGGGTTTTCCCTATTTTTCTCAATAAATTAAATATAACTGTGTCAGCTAAATTGTGTATAGTCGACGTTAATTCTTTTAACAAAATTACATACTACTAAGATAAATCCAACTTCATGTCATGTATTTTATTAACCCATAGTTCTTATTGTCTGAATGTGAAATAATTTAAAAAAAAATAACATGTTGCTTGAGAAAATAGTTACCCTATTACACAGCCTCAGGTGTATTAAAACATTTTTTTACTTCCTCGTACTACATTTGAATTTAAATGTTAGCTTATTGAAAATCATTTCAAGAAAGCAGGCCTTTTCATTGTATTGTCCATTGGAAATAAATACCACCAAACAGCGTATTTTGTCTAGTGAATGCTTCCACGTTTCAATACAAAGTCAAATTGAGACATACGGATTTTTATTTCGACATATCGAGTTATAACCTTTCAAAGTCATTTTTTTTAAATGGATCGAGGTCTTTTATTTACCTTGTTTTCTGACAGCTGTACGCCCAATGGTGCCAATAGAAATCAGGAAGTTCTTAATAACGGCTAAGTTCAGACGCAAATTATGTCACGATCGCATTTCTAAACGTTAGTGTCTGTGTTTGTGTGTGTGGGGGGAGGGGGAACTGGGATTTGGTGTTGGGGGGGGGGGGTCTAAAATGTTATCTTCTTCTTCTTCGTTCTTAAATTTAGTGTTGGAAGGGATCCCCTCAAACACAATTAAGTATTCATGTCAATTGATTATGCGCCATTGAGGCTATTGTCTCCGATTTCAGCCTGCTTTTCTTTTTTGGATTTGCTCCCATAGCCTTTGTCCAACAAAAACCAAACTACAAGATAGCACTTGTATGGTTTTGGAGTTGTCTCTCCTAGAAGAGAAGCTGCCCTAGCTAAC